AAGGAGTTGCATGTGCATGGCTGAGACGCCAATGCTTTTCTGTAGAAGCTGCCACCCACCGTCGGCTGCGGAGGTGAGGATAAGGTGATGTGGCTGTGAGGCAAAGAGGAGTTGAAACAGGAGGATTGAGAAAATGAACGCTGGGGTCATGTTTGATTGAAGGGGTTTTTGCTTTTGTTTTATGGGTGTTATTTGCTGCAGAAACACTATGGGCTGCTGTTGATCAAGGCTGTCCACTTGGTGCTCCTTATAAATGCCTCGTGAAGGAGCGAAGGAATGAAGGTTTGAAAATCCCACACGCATGTGTGACGCGTGGGATGCTTGTTCTGGTTAGTGAAAACGATGGTTTTTTTGGTTTTAAAATTAGGCAATGTGGAGGAAGGAAGCTGGCCTGGTAGTTGGCTGCTTCGATTTTGGAGTTTTAGGGGCAGATGAATAAATGGTCCAAGGTTTGAATTCGGCTCATTGCTGGTAATATCTTAGTCTGAAGTTGGATTACGTGTTGTCTTTATTCTAATGGGAATGTTAAAATGATTATAAAGTGGGAAGTCATCCTTATAGTTTGATCATTGGTGGATTCTACAAAGTAAACAGGTCGCCCTGGATTTACATTTCATCCTTTTCTGAGTCTCCAATATCTGAACCCACCCTGATGTCAGAGTAAAATCTTGATCACCAAATCAGATGATAAAGAACATAAGAGCCACCAGAGATCAGCTGCATTATTAACCGGCTAAGATGGCTTTGCATTTTCAGTAATTCAGAACTACAATCACTTCTGCCAACATACATTAATCAGAATAAGCATTACAACTCATATGGATATGAGAGCATGCAATGATTGATTTAAAATGAAATATCCTTAATTTACAGGCATTGCTTCCTTTCCAAATGGCTTAGATTCATGGTCCTGCTGCGAATTAGTTCGTTCTTTCCCCCTCTTAGCTCATGTCTATTCTTGGCAATCGTTCGCTTGCTATGCTCTCTTATCTATAAGCATGTAATTAAGTTAAGCTGATAAAAAGAGGAAAAGAGTGTAGCCAGTCCACCGCAGGGACCGTCTGGAGATCTAGACTTTTGCATGATGGGAACGAAAAAAGAGCAAAGTTTTATTGCGAAAATCAAAGAAAACCATGGGCTATAAAAGCTAGCTAGATGCCATGACCTGCCTTTTCCCCAGTACATTTTTTTTTCCATTTCTGATGGAACCTTCAGCCCTTCATCTACGATTGGAAGAAGCAGCATAACTCTAATCTCTCAAATGTAATTTATTCCCTAAATTAACAATGATTAGTCACAAACAAAGAAATTCTCTTTTCATTGATAACACGTGGAAGAAAGTTGCTTTAGGCAGAAAGAGCCACTCAGAGCTGATTCTTCTGATTAGTCGGTGAAGCATATCTATATTTTTTTCTTCTTTGTTCTTTTCCCTTTTTTCATCTTTTTTTTTTTTAATGATTGGTCAAGAGGATATATGCTTGCAGTTATGTTTTACCTTCTGGGTTTTGTTAACCAAGTTAATTGGCCATAAGGTGGTCGTTTTTCTTTTGTTGTTTGTTGTGGCTTTACGTGAATTGATTTTTTTTTTTTTTAGTTTTATGTTTAAGTAATCATTTGATTAGCATTTCCTTCATTTTGGATCTTAAGTTAAATAGTATTATAATAATTTTTTATGCATTGTTTTGTCAAAGGGTATCGTTTGATTTTAATGCAAAACCATAGAATTGAAGACCATGTCAAAAAGGACAAAAGAGGACATTTCAAAAGTAAAGTAAAGAGTTTAAAAACTAAAATTTGATATCCCTAACATATAATTCAATTATTCGCGTAAAGTAAAATTCAAATCCTTTTTCTTCCCTTTGGAAACAAAGTTTTGACTCTTCAAATCGAGTGAAACTAAACTTACAAGTGGAAGTGGTGTTTTAAGGACGGTGCAGCCATGGTTTGTGGTCCGAGCATAAAATTTGGGACATCCAAGAAATGGCTCAAGCCTAGTCTACATCAAACATTAATTAATTAATCTATATATTGCGGTTGAATATAATATAGATTTACAAGACTCGATAAGGAGAAATCCTACCCTTACAAGTAAAAGGAGTTGAAATGACCAATTCGGTTTCAGAAAAAACCAGCCACGAGTCAGGCCATGAGCCAACAATGGTAGCGCCTGGTCGACTGATATCTCAAAACTGATGGATCAGGCCATAGTTCTTCCTTGGAAACTACACCCCTAAGAGCCAAATCTAGACAGGTGGGGACTGTAAGTGACTAACTTACATAAGCCAAGAATTAATGGCTACCCTCCAACCTAAATGTCAAAAGTTTGGCGGCAGAGTTCTCTTTTGGGCTTGGGCTGTACTGCTCTTACACAAATAAAATATCTGTATGAAATGACAAAGTTAAATCTCAGTGTAGGGATCACCCTAAACTTGTCTTTGAAGAAACAGAGATTTTGTTTGTGATGGGAAATGTTCTTTCTTAGGTGTACGTAACTAAAAGAATGATTCTGATTTCTTAGGCCAAACCAAAAGTTGGTTCTTGGAACTTTGGCTCGTGGCTTCGGGGCTCGAGCTGTTTCTTTTCATTCTTTGTTGCCTTGTAACAGCCAACTGTAAAAAGACTTTTCCAGGATTTGTCAATAGTTCAAGGTCTGCAAAAATAGTGTGATTAAGATTGGGACATGAACCTTCTCATGAATTCCCATTATGATTGAACTGGTTGGTGATATCGATTGAAGCTGACAAACCCAAAGACGTGCAAATGAAAACTACAGCATACACAGTGTTCATGAATAATCAAAATGTATAGGAATATTGGAACCTTAATGAGCTGTGCAGATCTTCCTTTGTGTTCTCATGTTCTATATTAATCCACACAAAACATTTATTTTATTTATTTTTATGTCGCCTCAACTGTTCTACAAAACCAGACCTTCGACTTTCCAACCTTCTATCCAATTGAATGAGATACAGTTTGACCCCCCAAGATTCTGCAACATTGTTTTGTTTATTTGTTTTCCCACTGCATTTTCCTCACCTTGCTTGGCCCTTGATGAGTTCAGGTAATTACTTTGATATCAGGACTAAAGGATGTTTGGTGTACGAAACTTATTTTGTTCAAAGGAGCAAGAAAGCGAAGAACACATAAAATATATAATCATGATTAAAATGCTTTGGCAACCCAATTATTCCAGTCAAGAGAATTTTTAGTTGATAAACCTAACCCAAGATCGTACTATTCTTTTAGATTTTATAGATATTTACAATTCTATACATTATCCTCATCATCAAGTCAGAAGTTCTGATGAGTTCAGGAATGTACATAACAAAAAATAATGGAAAAAGTTTTGCTTTCATCTGTTTGACAGTGCTACGTATATTTGATATGGATAGCTGATGCCTGGCTAGTCTAATTCAAGCAGATAATCATAGGAAAGTATAGTTAAAAATTAATTTCCTAATCCTTCAACTTAGACTGATTTATTTCTGATTTTCTAAGCTTCTTGCGAATCGTTATCGAAAATTTCCAAATATAAATGATATCACTGCACACTGTTTTATGTTGATTGTTAAGATAATTATACAAATTCAATGATTTAGTGATATAGTTTGAATATAATACTATTAGTTGGCTAATTAACTAGATAGACTATAATATTATTAGCTGATTAGACTTCAACTATGAATAAGATTAAGTTTTATATACATATACCTCATTCACTTCTATAACATATATACAATTGTTATAATATGGTATACAATTATCTTTACATTTATAAATTTTCTCACTCAATTTTGTATATTCAACCACATCCGAATATTTCAATCATGTTTATCCCTAAAAAGAATAATAATAATAATAATAATCATGGCTTATCTGTACTTTTCTGTTTTTTTTCTTTACATAATATTTATAAAGAGTTGACATTTGTTCTTCTCATAATTTTAGCAATTATAATAACCCAGGTGCTTAACATAGGAATATATATATATATATATATATATATATATGAAATGTAAAAGATATAAAAAATAAAAAAATAAAGTTAAGTCAAACAATATTTATTGTCCTTGGAAGATTGGTGCTTCTAACAGATTAGCTTTCTTTGAAGATTATTGTTTATGGTGGTTTACTTGGAAGGAAATTGAATGATTAGGTAGCAGCAGTGTTACTTTCAAAGCATATAGCAGTGTTCAAATTGATGAAGTCTGATCATTTTAAAAGCTGAACTCGATTCTCAAACTGTCTTTATCTCTTTGCCCCCCAGCCCAGACGTTTCTTGCTTGAATTTGTATTGGATTGGCTTTGGCTTGGCTAGGCATGCAGAATTCAAACATGTCTTAGTTTTATAATGCATTTGGAGAATCTAGACTCCCCTTGGAATAACATTTGCTTATACTTTACAAACACTTCGAGGTGGGTAGCAGACCTTTTCGCTCCTTTGATTATTGCTTTCGTTAATGCAAGGGAAAGAATGGGGTAGGAAGATTCCCAGGAGCACATGGCAAGGACTCTGTTTGCCCACTAACATCAATGAGGCTGTGAACCAAATTAGATGAATGTTGAAATCAATGTTCTTGGCTGCTGCTGTGGAACAAGACAAAACTGATTAAACTAGTCTTGTTTGATGGGGGCATACGACAACTGGTTAAAGTTTATGCTTGGCACGTCGGAAAAGAACGTACATGCTTTGCTCAAGTCCTGCCGTAATGTTTAACTCATCTATTTAATAATTCCACCTTTTTGTTTTATCTATCTAGACTTATGCTATAGAGTTAAAAAGGCATTCAACTCCTTTTCGATGATTACGGTGAGAAGTCAAACCACTATGAAAGCCGAAAATAGAACAAAAAAGGTTTAGTGCCATACCGGATGAATGAGCCGGGCATCCACGGACTTGGGGTCGGCTTGTTTTTGTTTTGTTCATCTGAAAAAGGAGTCATGAAAAGTCATTGTCGTTGAGTAGAGATTAGTTTTCTTTGACGCCAAGTTTCTAGACTGTTGAATAATGAAATCCGGTTATAGTCAAGCAAAGATGAGTTTTAAGAATTCGTATGTAGTTGAAGATGTTTGCTCGAGAATGCATTGATTTTCATGGATGGAGTGTGTCAAGAGACGAGAATGTCAGTATCAAAGTGACGTGTAGTGTTGAGCGAATGGCAAAATTCACCACGTGAAGAACTATCCCCTGGAATCAGCAGCTGTTGTCATATCCACAGGACTATGAGTTATGACAAAATATGGAAGGGCAGTGATGTTGATCGGTCTTGACTCAGATAAGCTTTAATTAGTAGTCTGATTTGAACCCAGTTTAGGGCTTTAAAGCAATGGGATAGCTCCAGGATTTGATCCTTATCTTCCAGATGAGTCCCTAATCTCCTCGTTGTGGTTCAAGATTTGCACTCCTTCCCACTACTTGCTTGTCTCTCAACGGGGCAAAAGGAAGAATATAGGTTCAGAAAGAAATGGTGAATCTTACAGTCAACATTCTCAGGAAAATGTAAGCAAAAGCTGATTTCATCTTTTCTTAAATAAAGGCTGGAAGTGTGACAACATTCACATTGTCACATTAGACTAGAACCCAATTGCTGGAGCAACTTGAGCAGACAGTAGTAGGGTACCAATATTAGTTCTACTCCTGTTTCAAGTTTGAGGAGGATATAGTTCCCATAGTGCAACAGTTGTGTCTTCTGATGCAGAAGCCATCAGCTTGCAGTCGGTTGAGTATGAGACAGAGCTACACTGCAAAAGTAGATAATTTATTTCTAAATTTGTAACATTGAATAACTAATTAACTGCAAGAGAAGAATAGCATGATACATTGAATAAATACACAGACCACACATAATCACACCAGATAGTTCAAAAGAAAAAAAAATGTCAGAATTTCAGGCTTTGAGCCTTCATCGTACCGTAGCATGGTGATATTTCAGAATCGCCAGAGGATTTCCCTTGCGATAATTGTATATTCTAACTCTGCCACCATGAATGAAATAGAGGGTAAGTTAAAACCAACCCTTGCATATAAACCTAATGAAAAGATCAGCATGCAACTAGTTAGCCCCAGTCTGTTTGACATTACGATGTATTAATTTTGCTGGTTTTGACTTCTGAAGAGAAATATAGAACAAGAACTCATTTTGACTGAGGCAAATAACTAAGTTGGAGGCACAATATAGTTCTGCAATCCAGTTTCGAATAATGAAGACTTAAAGTTGCACTTCCATTAGGTTGATTAGTCACATGGAAATCCACTTAAAGTTTGTACTCCATGATGACTTTGATTTTCAATTGCTAATGACTGGAAAAGCATTGGATTTATTCAAATTCAGAATGAACCAATAAACTCATCAAGGAAATCGAAGTAAAGGATTCTTACTTGTCAAGACATACAAAACAGATTTGAGTTATACACATCAATTACTCAATGACAGATTTCCACTTGATAAACTAAAATTGCAAATAATATCCAGTAAATTTGAGGTTCAGTTTAAGGATGCATGCCCAAAGATCTGAAATATTAAATATTCAGGAAAAATGGAAAAAAAAAATGAAAAATGTGATACAAACCTATGGTCCCAGCCAGCAGTTGCAGCGATTTTACAATCTGACCGAATTGAGGTACAGGATATGCCTGGCCGTTCTAAACTAATTTCTTTCTTAACAACACAAGAACCCTACATCAAGTAGAACATAACATAAGAAGCATTTAAGAAAATAATGTGACTTACACCATTGCTATGTGAAGCCAGAACTCAAGAAGTTAAGCAAAGAACTCTAGCAGCCCTTAACACATCAAAAGATTCAAAATCTCATCCACTTTTTGTTTGCCTCTATCATAATGCAGACCAAGATTAATGTGAAAGAGCAGACATATGTCACTAAAACTAGCACTATTATCCATTTGATGTCACTCTTTGACATTACCTGACAACTGGATCCACACAACCATACAAATGCATATAATCATCTAGACACACCACCGAAACATTTGGCCAATAATTTCCAAAATGAAGATTTCATAGTCAAAACTAAAGGGCATGTCAATCTGTATTTTTGTTAGCAACCAGCTTATAAGTCATGAAACAGGAGTCCACGGGAGGTTTAAAGGGGAATGATGTAAAAACAATGAGAATTACCATGGGATGATCCAAATTGTAAATTACAATCTTGTCATCTGCCGCCCCTGAGATACCTCCATTGCATGATCCATCAATGCATAAACTTAGAACTGCATACGAACTAAGCAATAAAACATACTTTATAAAGAAAAAGAAATGAGAAAAGGATGATGAAGATGAAAGAGAATACATGTGAAGTCTCCATATTCTGGGTTGCCCACCTGGCTCTGAATGGAACCTCACAGAAGTTACAGGAACCCCTGGATTACGTATATCCCACCAAAGAATGGAACCATCCTCATAACTAGTACATACAGCAAACGGTTCCATAAGTGACAATATATTAGATAGCATTCCAAAAGTAGGACACCAAATCACAATCTCTAATTCAACCTTCTTTTGAAAAACTGATTCCACAGTTTTGAAGAGCACCAATCATAAACAATAATTATTTTCCTTTTACTTTTTGAGAATAATTCAAGAAGAGAAAATGGGAGGTCTTAAAAACAATTTGGGTGCAGTGCACAGAGATATCAGGGACACAAACCCAGCCAAGACATTAAGAAAACCCTGTGATCCAGGTAGTAAAAAGGATTGAACTGCCATGCACATTCCTGCCAAAAAACCAGTTATAGTTTTAGATGCCTCAACAATCAACGAGCACAATGACAATCATCAGGAAGGACATTACAAAACAAAACTTCCTATAGAATTGTTATCAAATATAGATATGCCAGTATGTTTCTAAAGGAAAGCACTATCACAAGTCATCATTACAATGATGGCAATGTATAATCAGAAAAATGATTAGTATCCTAGAGGTGATTTATCAATGCAAAACTTGCAATGTGCTAAGTCAAAAGTAACGTATCAGATAATGACCTCTCTCCTTAGTAGAGAAACTGGAAGAACCACCAAAGTTGTCTAGAGGTAGCCGTACAGATCTTTCACCAGTATTGAGATCCCAAATCTCAACCTTAGCATATTAAACATGTGGAAACAATCAGAAATAAGATATTGCAAATAAATAAAGGAAAACAAGAGAAAATTGAATAGCAAAATAAATTCAAAAGCAGCACATTGACCTCAGAAGATTGTTCTCCTGCCATAGCCACATACTTAAGTCCTTCAACATATGTTTCTTCTATAAATCCACCTAGCAAATGATTGAGTAGGCCATAGCAATGAAATTTTTATAGAATCGACAAGCAGTCAACATGAAAATATGCAGAAAGTATCGGCAAGAGAAATCTAAAGTAAAATTTTGCCACTTAAAAACAATTATCCTGTACAATAAGGTCAAAATGTAGGAAAAACTAGCACATACATGGCTATCTCTAGGGATCAAGCCCCACTTTCCTTGTTAAAGAAAAAAATGCAAAAAAAGAAAAGGAAAAAGGACTATGATTTGTTTCCAAGATGCATCTTCCATTCCAGATTATAGCCAATCCCTCGAAAAGGGCCGCGTATGCTATATTGCTTACAAGATAAAACTACAAGAATTGGTCCCAACATAAGACATAATTGAAGAAGTGGTTGCTGTGCATATCGCAACCAGGATGGTTTAAACAACAGTAAGATATAAAAATGAAATATTACTACAACCATTCCAGCCCCCATTTCCCAATTCACATGCAAAAATTCTAACATTTTTTTTCTACTTTCGGAGAGAGCATCTCCCTTCTTTCGTTGTTAGATAAGCCATATTAAGTCCTGACCATAAGTATTGATCAGGAAAAAAATGGCCCCTTGAGTCCATTTCTGAATCAAGATAACTCATCGAGAATTTAACCCTATAGAGAGGAGAGTAAGTTGTCACAAAGATTTATGCAGAAAACCTGCATGAATCTCATAATAAAACATTATTTTAGACAAACCTTGAAAGGTGTTGGAACCCTCTACTTGATTTTCTGCAGTCTTTCCTCTGCTATCATCGGAACTTTCTATATCAACAGTTTCCTTCCCTAGCACCTCAGGGTAAGCTTGCTTCGCATTAGCAATAGGTTTCTTCACCAAAGAAAGCTTGCAAAAGTGGTAAGCATTTGTCCTGATTGTAAGTGAAGGTGCCCTGTCAAGAACCAAAATAGTAGTAAGATGAGATTCCAACTTATAAGTTATAAGCAGATATTGCTGGTGGGTGGCATCAAAAACAAAATAATTAATCATGAAGAATTTCTAAAGATCCCTGATCTGTCGGCATGCCGATGAAACTCAGATTAACAAAAGATCTAAAAATCTCATTAATAAAATAAAGCCGTAAATGACAAAAATATAGATGAAAAACTTCTATTTGACACAAGATAACAGATATGGCAATCTAATCCCTTGTAACTTCGATGCAAGAACAGATTAACTTGGTTCAACACACCAGCATGTAATTCTCCATATTTTCAACATTCAAGCCATTATTCTACAAAATAATAAAACCTGATACTCAAAAGAAAAAAGACTTTTAGTCATTTAATCTCTAAATTGTTGTTGGTTGACAATACATACCAGTTATCTATAAACACTGCATGGAATACTGTTAAACTTCATAGTTCATATTATCGAAATTAAGGCATTTCATCAAATGAAAGAAATTAGCCATCCACATTTTTCCGCAATGCATAAACAACTTCAGAAAACAAGCATTCATAAGGCAGAACATCGCCACTATTCTCAATGAAGAATGAAGTTCAAAGTGCTGAGTCACCTGGAGAGACCTCCCTCTTCTATGTCCCAACACTTGACAGTTCCATCCCTGCCCTGACTATACATGTTAGAAAAACATGAGAAAAAAACCATTCAGCTTACATTTCCAGAAACAATAAAACAAAACAACCAACGAAAATTCACCTGATAACTTTGTTGGTACCCGACAAAGAACTACAAGCAACGGCTATAATCCCATGGGCAGCACTATGCGCCCTATAAAATAACAAGAGAACAATCAGAGTTATCAACAAAAACAAGCTCGATTTCGTCAAAGAAAAAGAAGAGAGAGAGAGAGAGAGAGAGACAAAGGAAATAAGAAATTAAAAGAAGAATGACAACAACCATGCAGATGATACTGTGCGATGCTGAATCGTGTCCCAGATCCGCAACTCACCATCTGTAGAGCTGAAATGGAATCCCCCCATTAATTTTGTGTTAAAAATTTTATAAAAAAGGAAAGTTGGGGATTTACCCGGTGAACAGAATAGGTCTCGACGGATGGAAACAAGCATCGGTGACGGAAGCGCGGTGACCTCTCAGCACAGCCACCGGGTCAGGCGGTGGTCTCTTGCTCTTAGAGCTCATTCTTTGCTTCGAGTCTAAGCGGAATAGTTGCCCCAACGCTTTTTCACTTTTTTTCTTTTTCTTATTTTCCATGCATGGCCCAAAAAATTAATTTTGATAAATAAATAAAATTTCTTTTTAAGTTTTTTTTTGTTAGTAAGTGATCCAACATTTAAACACCATATAATATAAAACATAAAATCATGAACATAAAGATTTATATACTTATTCAAATCAATTAATTCGATTTTCATCCACTTTATAGAAATAGTTTTATTTTTTAAAATTTTCTAAATTTTTCTTTTCACTTAATAACTTACTATGGAAAATTTTTGACATTATCTCTTTTCTATGATTAATATAATCTTATTTTGGAAAGAAATCAAGAATTTGCTCTTCTATTAGTAATATTTTCTTAATTAGGTAATTTGTTACTAATTTTTTTTCCTTTAAAGTAGTTGACAAATCAATGCCATTGAATGGCATATGTATGAAACGAGAAAGAGAAAGGTGGAAATATAAGAAGTTGATGTTCAAGAATAAAAGCTAAATAGTTGTTTAAATAATGAAAAATAACAAAACATATTAAATGTCACATGTGCATATTAATTTTCAATATTTAAATTAGACAAAAAAATTAATACTAGTATAAATACAAGATATATAAGATTTATAAAAATTATTAAATCATCTAATTATAAATCTTATTCAGTAAAGTGATTTAAAATCATAATTCTTAACATGAGATTAAAATCATCTAGTAAACTTATTTTAAAAGATCGAGAGATAATAAGAATTGAATAAATAGTTTTAAATTAATTAATTATTTGTTTAGATTTTATATAAATGCTTTGTATTTTTTGTTATTTAATAAAAAATCTTTCACATCTTTTAATAAATAAGAGAGATAGCTTGTAAATAACTAAATTTTAATAAAAACTGATGAAAATAATTTTATGAATGGTAGTTTTGCATTATATTTAATTTTTATAGGTATTTCATATGATTATATAAGTGATATATTGATATTAATATTTTAATAAAAAATATAAATTATAAATTGACTTTTTTTTTGTTGCATACGAGAAGTTAAACATCAATACATAAAAATAAATAAATAAAATTTGAAATTAAAAAAATAAAATAATTATTATGTGATACATTTTATTTTTTATAAAATTTTAATATACTTAAATATGAAAAATTTACACGAATGAAATACATTTATCACTTACCTTAGTAAAATAATAATTATAAAATTCGTTAATTTAGTTAATTCATTGTAAATCTTTTAAATCTAACAGATCTTGTTTAACAAATTTAACGGATTATCATAATAAAATTAACTATTTTAATGAAATTAACTGAATCAAATCAATTGCTTTTAATTGATCTTCTCAACTCTTGTTTAAATTTAAATATTATAATTTTTTATTTAAATTAAAATCCTCATTTAGAATTTTGGTGTATGTCTACACATTGAGATCAAATTTGCAAAACCAAAGTGAGTTGGTTCCATCCAGCAGAAAAAATTGGCGTGGAGCGAAAAAAAATAGACGGGGGCACTCCTCCGAGGCCTAATTTGCAAAGGTTCGTTATTTCCTATTTAAATTTTATTTCCTCATGAGAATAAATAGGTCTATTATTTAAACGTTTACCATTTAATTTTTTTTCCATGACACCGTGGTCGCAGCGCAATATACAGGGCGTGAGCTTCTCTAACTCCAGAAAACAAAGACGCTAACGTGCGCCTCTCACTCTCGTCAAATTCCATTAACGCCACCGTTTTCACTGCTTTCGAGCTTCGTCCCTCAGGTCTGGTTTGTTCTCTCTCTCTCTCTCTCTTTTCCTAGGCCTTACTAATTCTCTTAAAAACCCTAGGTTTTTTGTTTGTATTTTGGAAATCTTATTTCCTCATTGGATTCCATGCACTAGAGAGAGTAGAACTAATGCATTGACGATAGATTGTGGAAAACTCATTAATTGTAAGAAACTCTGTATATTTTTAGCTGTGAATATAATTTTTTTTTTGGTTAAATGTTTTAGGATTTGACAAGGCGTTGGACCATTTGGTTTTCGCTCTGAATTTGTTGGATATGGCTTTAGTTGCTTGAAGGAGGGATTCTTTACTTGAAATTATGAGCTTTGGTTTTGTGGTAATTGAGAGATGGAAAGTGATGATGGTTCAAATTCCCAGGCAGGTCCGGAATTGCAATTTGATATGGGGAATAAAGTTGAGCTAGGGTTAGAAAAGGATTCATTGCAGCACTCATTGAAACCTAGGAACAAGAAAATGGAGAGTGGTGGGGGGTCTAAGAAAAGAGTAAAGGTTACGCCGGTGGAGGTTGGTTTTGATTCGGATGATGATGAGCCCATTGGATCTTTGTTGAAGTTAAGGAAACCTAAGAATCCTAAAAAGATTAAGGCTGCATTGGAGGGCAGTGTTGAGAAGTGCCACAAGGTTGAAGTTAAGGCACACAAAATTTTGGGTGAGGATGAGGAGGATTTGGGGGAAATGAATGATACCTTGGCGAGCTTTAGGAAGAAGTTGAAGTGTCCCAAGAAAGATATTGAACCTGGAACAATGAGGGGAAGGGGTTATGCTTTGAATGAGTCTGTGGAGGATGATGGGGTTTTGGATGGAAAATCTGTGTCGAAGACTGTGGAGAAAGGTCAGGATATTGGTGAAGACAGATCTAATGTGATTACTGATAAAGGAGTTGAAAGAAAGAGTACAGGGAAAGTAAGGAGAGGCAAGTTTGATTCGAAAGCAAAGGCCATTGGGGATGATGATGATTCAGAAGGGTTGGAATCACAGGTTGAGGAAGATCAGAATGAGGGAGGCTTGTGGCCTGGGGAAGTTTCAGATCAGCCTTTGGATGAGAAGTTGGAAGAGTCCTTGTCAACCTTTTTTCAGAGGGCGCAATCTGGTTTACAAAGGAAGTCTCGTCCAAATTTGAGTTTGAAACAGAATTGCAAGGCTACCCATCATGCTTTTGTTTCAAAAAATCCCAGCAGAAATTGTGATGGCAGTTCTCTTTCAGTTTCTGGTATAAGCTTGTTGCATTCAACATCCAAAGAATGCAACACAGCAGTGAATCAAAGATTTGATGATGGTGTGTGTCAACAAGAGACCATTTTGGAGCCATGTGACTTCAATGTCCAAAAAGGACCCATTGAAGATCCATGTAGGTCACCTAAAGTTTGTGAAAAGGATGGAAATCGGCATTCCAATATTCAGCGCAGGGACAATTGTTCGGCAGTTGACCAGAGAGGTAAACCAGAAAGTGAAGGTTTAAAGGATGGGTTAGAGCTTCAATCTACTGCCAAAACAGGCAGTTTAGTGCCCTGTGTAGTAGAAATGGCTAACTCTCTTTCTTCCTCAAACCTGATGGAAGAAATCCATGGATCTGGTGCTGGAGGTTTGGTTCCACAGTCTATGGGCATTTCAAACGAATATATTTTGAGTGCAGATCCAGAGATTTATTCAGTTGGGAAAGAAAACTCTAATGACGAGTTGTTAAACAAGTCTTATGAAAATGCTTGTGAAGAGACTGCAAAATTGGAAAGTGGCTTTGTTTTCAACCAATATCAGGAAGGTTCACAACAAATTCAACTTAACCTGTCTCTATCTGCTGTTGATTCACTGAAGATGGAAGAGACTTGCAGTGATGGTCCAAATACTTGTGCTGAGGAAAAGTCTTTAGAAACCCATGTTCATCCCAATGAACTTGTTGCCTCCATTCGGAGGTGCAACTCTGCTTTGCATCAACCATCTGAAGATGCATCCCATGGGGCCTGTGTTCCCAGCCATGATTGTTTTTCCATCAATGAAGTGGCTGATGGAGATTCTCCTACATCCTTAACACCTGATGAAAATGAAAGTTGCCATGAAGATGCGGTCTCTCTGCCTAGTTCTGAAATCAAAGACAGTAAGTTATCATCTATCCAGCGTGCTGGGCGCAATATTAAAAAGCGCAGGCATGGAGATATGGCTTATGAAGGGGACGCCGATTGGGAGAATTTGATAAATGAGCAAGGTTTTTTTGGAAGTCAGCAGTTTGTAGACAGTGATCGTTCCTTTAGAGCAAGAGAGAAGTTTGATGAAGCTGCAGTGTCGGCTGGACTGAAAGCTCGTGCGGTAGGTCCAGTTGAGAAGATCAAATTTAAGGAGGTCTTGAAGCGTAGAGGTGGGCTACAGGAATATTTGGAATGCAGGTTTGTGATTTTTTTTTCTTATAATTTTGTTTACTTATAGTTATTATTATGAATTATTTTGTGAGTATGAGCTCCTGTTTTGTGCTCACATCTCTTTTTTTTTTTTTTAAATTTTAAACTATAGCGAATTAATTACTGTCGAGACCTTGTGCACCACATGGCATCTTTTATGGAAACTTTTTGTTTTTATGATTTGGGATTTGCCCTATAACTTGGAATTATTCATATAATTTACTTGTATATTCAAGAATTCCTATTCTGGTCTCTTTCTGCTATAGGAGTGGATCTAATTGCCGGTTCCCAGTGTGTTACCCTCTGATTTTTCTATTTTAAAAAGCTCTGATTTCTTCAATGGAATTTAATCGCTCGGTGCTGCAGGAATCATATCTTAGGTCTTTGGAGTAAAGATGTTACTCGTATTTTGCCTCTTGTTGACTGTGGTGTGACTGATACTCCTTCAGAGGGTGAACCAGCCCGGGCTTCCCTAATTAGGGAGATATATGCATTTCTTGATCAGAGTGTAAGTGTTTACTCTTTAATGAGTCAGAATCTGTTATATATGTTTTTTGATGGATAAGATTTCTTATATTTTGTAATATCTCATCTTTTAGTACCTTTGGGGTATATTTAATGTTGATCTTGAAGTGTTAAAGAAAATCGAATGCTAACCTCCTTTTCGCAGGGTTATATAAACTTCGGAATTGCTTCCAAGAAAGAGAAGGCAGAACTTAACGCGAAGCATAACTATCAACTTCTAGAGGAAGAAAATTTTGAAGGTAGTTCTGGGGCCTCCATTGCTGATTCAGAGGATGGAGTTGCCTTTATCCTTGGTCAGGTCAAGACTCCTGAAGCTCCTGTGGAGGCAAAGAATGGTGTTAGAGTTGATGATCAAAACCTGGCATCTGAAGCCAAATTATGTGAAGTATTGGTTGATTCGATCACACCAGAATTACCTAATGTAAAAGTACAAGAAGAATGCCTAAGTGATAATTGCCAGCAAAATGACAGCATTGATGCAAAACTAAACCCTGGATTGATTAATTTGCAGGTTCCAAGTGCTGATCTATCTTGCAATGCAGTTGACATGGGAATTGCCCCTGTAGTAACTCTGGAAGAAAGGAATGACTCACAATATGTTCAATCTGCTGCTGATGATAATCCTCACTGGAATGATCACTTGAAGGGTGATTCAGAGGTCAGAAAGAAAATCATAGTTGTCGGAGCTGGTCCTGCTGGATTGACTGCTGCACGCCACTTGCAACGCCAGGGATTTTCTGTTGTTGTACTTGAGGCTAGGAATAGGATAGGAGGTCGTGTTCATACAGATTGCTCCTCTCTTTCTGTACCTGTGGATCTTGGGGCTAGCATTATTACAGGAGTTGAGGCTGACGTTTCCACTAATAGAAGACCAGATCCTTCATCATTGGTTTGTGCACAGTTGGGGCTAGAGTTGACTGTGTTGAATAGTTCCTGTCCTCTGTATGACATTGTAACTGGTCAAAAGGTTCCTGCAGATCTGGACGATGCTCTGGAAGCTGAATACAACACTCTTCTTGATGACATGGTGTTTCTTGTTGCTCAAAAAGGTGAAAAAGCAATGAGAATGTCTCTTGAGGATGGTTTAGAATATGCCCTTAAAAGGCATCGCATGGCAGAAATAGGAGCAGATATTGAAGAAACAGAATCGCATTCTTCTGTGGAAGCTTTCTATGATGCCAAAGCAAGCAATGTCATTGGAAATTTTCCTGAAGAACAGTGTTCTAAAGAGGAGATTTTGAGTTCTCTTGAGAGAAGGGTTATGAATTGGCACTATGCCCATTTGGAGTATGGTTGTGCTGCTTCGCTTAAGGAAGTGTCTCTTCCCCACTGGAATCAAGATGATGTTTATGGCGGATTTGGAGGACCTCATTGTATGATTAAAGGGGGTTACAGCACAGTGGTTGAGTCTCTTGCAGAGGGACTTCTCGTCCACTTGAACCATGTGGTCACAAACATTTCATACAGCCCAAAGGATTCTGGAATTGATGATAGTCAACATAGGCAGGTCAAAGTTTCCACTTTAAATGGCGGTGAGTTTTCAGGAGATGCTGTGCTTATTACTGTGCCACTTGGTTGCTTGAAAGCGGGAGCCATAGAGTTTTCTCCTCCATTGCCCCAATGGAAACATTCTTCCATACAGCGGCTTGGTTTTGGAGTTCTTAATAAAGTAGTCTTGGAATTCCCAGAAGTGTTTTGGGATGATACCGTGGATTACTTTGGAGTGACTGCTGAGGAAACCGATAGTAGGGGCCATTGCTTTATGTTTTGGAATGTCAGAAAAACTGTTGGGGCTCCTGTTCTTATAGCCTTAGTGGCTGGTAAGGCAGCTATTGATGGTCAAAGTATGAGCTCATCAGATCATGTAAACCATGCAGTAATTGTTCTCCGTAAACTTTTTGGAGAGGCTTCAGTTCCTGATCCAGTTGCCTCAGTAGTGACTGATTGGGGCAGGGATCCTTTCAGCTATGGTGCTTACTCCTATGTTGCCATTGGAGCATCTGGAGAAGACTATGATATGTTGGGAAGGCCGGTTGAGAACTGCCTATTTTTTGCTGGAGAAGCCACCTGCAAGGAGCATCCCGATACGGTTGGTGGTGCGATGTTGAGTGGACTTCGAGAGGCTGTGCGACTAATTGACATATTCACTACTGGAAATGATTATACAGCGGAAGTAGAGGCAATGGAAGCTGCACAGAGACAGTCAGAATCAGAAAAGGATGAAGTCAGGGATGTAATTAAGAGACTTGAAGCAGTTGAACTTTCTAATGTCTTGTACAAGAACTCTTTGGATCGAGCTCGACTTTTGACCAGGGAAGCTTTACTGCAGGACATGTTCTTTAATGTGAAAACCACTGCAGGTCGATTGCATCTGGCCAAAAAGTTGTTGGGTCTCCCAGTTGAATCCTTGAAATCCTTTGCTGGGACAAAGGAAGGGCTTACCACACTCAATTCATGGATGCTGGTATTATTGCTTTTCATGATTTAGTATCCTCCCTTGAGTCCTAAGGTGGATTTTCTTCAAGTGATGCTTATTTTAGTGTCATTAAATAATAGCCTTTGATGTTCCTTGTGTTGAATTGAAATTTATAGGATTCGATGGGGAAAGACGGGACTCAACTCTTGCGCCATTGTGTTCGTCTTCTTGTGCTTGTTTCAACTGATCTAGTTGCTGTTCGTTCATCAGGTATTGGTTTACTTTATGTGTGCCACATTTTTTATCATTCATAGTGTACTTGCATGGCATGTGTGAATTTTTTGTTTGAATGTGCATTTTTCTTGGCTTTTCCAGAAAGTAGTATGTGATGAATAAAGGTGGCTAAGATGGCATTTTTTTAATGATTATTTATTTTTAGGCATAGGGAAAACTGTGAAGGAAAAAGTTTGTGTACATACAAGTCGTGACATACGTGCTATCGCAAGCCAGCTGGTTAATGTGTGGCTGGAAGTCTTCCGTAAGGCAAAAGCTTCTTCAAAGAGAAAATTCCTTAAAGATGCAGCTTCAGGAAAGCCACCTCTACGCTCACATCATGGTGCTTTTGAGAATAAAAGGAGCTTGCAGGATCCCTCGTCTGCTGGAAGCCAATATCCAGTCAATGTGAAGGAGAATGGCAAATCAATGGGGGTGGAGGCTGTCAACCTAGCAATGTCTGAGGAAGAGCAGGCTGCCTTTGCTGCTGAAGCAGCTGCTCGAGCTGCAGCAAAAGCAGCTGCTGAGGTTTGTTCTTTCTTTTACCCATTTTACCGTGGCATATCTACGTTGATGCAGTGTCCTTAACCAACTGTCACTTGGATACTACCTTGCAAAGGGCTTTATTTGTGCTTATGGACAAAGTCGTCTGTCTTTTCCTTGTTTCTCTTAAAGACCAAAAAACTTATAGAGCTTATCTCTTGTTTTGCTGTTATTTTCTGAACATACAGCCATCTCATATAAGTTTTTAAGAATATTTCATTTGTTTTATGAAAGAATTGACGGACATGCTTCTATTTCCTTTTGATCAAGTTGATATCATTAGTTGATAGACTGGCCAAATTTGGATAACTTGTGACAGTATTTTACATCACTTTGAAAATGCAAAGAGTTTCCTAACTCTGCATCCTACAAACATGTTATTCATATACTTGTGCTTTTCTTCTTCGCTAAAAAAATTTATTTCCTTGTTTCTTCTTCTTCTTCGGTGGTTATGCACTTGTGTTTATAAATAGATTAACTATTGTACCCTGTAGGCACTTGCATCCACAGAAGCCAACTGCAACAAATTGCTGCAGCTTCCCAAGATTCCTTCTTTTCACAAATTTGCGAGAAGGGAGCAATATGCTCAAATGGATGAAAGGAAGTGGCCTGGTGGTGTATTGGGAAGACAAGATTGTATATCGGAAATAGACTCTAGGAACTGCAGAGTTAGGGACTGGTCTGTTGATTTCTCTGCTGCATGTGTTAACCTTGACAGTTCCAGAATGTCAGTAGATAACCTGTCTCAGAGGAGTCATTCTAATGAGATTGCTAGCCACTTGAAACTTAGAGAGCACTCAGGAGAAAGTTTGGCTGTGGACAGCAGTATCTTCACAAAAGCATGGGTTGATACTGCTGGTAGTGGGGGGATTAAGGATTATCATGCCATTGAAAGATGGCAGTCTCAAGCAGCTGCTGCTGATCTAGACTTCTTCCATCCAACAATGCATGTGAAGGATGAGGAAGATTCATATGCTAGTTCTAGGCAACCCACCTGGAAGCATGATGGACGAGCGAATGAGAGCTCCATATCCCAAATTACAGTAAACAAGGAGCGATTTAAAAATCATCCTCGTGGAGCTGATCGTATTAAACAGGCTGTTGTTGATTATGTTGCATCATTGCTAATGCCCCTTTATAAGGCCAGAAAAATTGATAAGGAGGGATACAAATCGATAATGAAGAAAACTGCAACAAAAGTTTGTGTCTTCTCTTCCGCCTCTTGTCTTTCACTCCTTAGTTCTCAACCTCCTTTCTGCCTCTACTTCACTCTGGTCTTACCATTTTAGTTTCTTTACCAGGTTATGGAGATAGCATCGGATGCAGAGAAAAACATGGCTATTTCTGAATTTCTTGATTTCAAGCGCAAAAATAAGGTGTGCATTATATTTTATACCGTATAAGGTTATATGCCTTATTAACCCAGTCTACCTATTGGACCTGTTAATATGCCTTTTTTTTTTTATTTAGGAAAAGGGGGGATTCGAACCCAGTTCTTTGATTTCTTGATCAAACTTAATTTGGATGCCTTTGACATGCAGATTCGTTCCTTTGTGGACAAATTGATTGAGAGGCACATGGCAATGAAGCCAGTCATGAAACCATGATGGTGTTAAGGATTGGCTGGTTTTGCTTTATTGGCTGCTTCTCTGCAAGACCTATGAGGGCCTCTCTCTGCGTCAGTTCACTGCCTTCAATGATGGTGGTGCAGCACAAATGGTTTTACAATCTGCAGTTCATGGTCCAGAAGGTGTCCATGGAAGAACACAATTCAGTGTTTTACAATCTCAATTGACCCTCAAAGCAAAAATCACTCAAGTTGATGCCTTCTTGTAAATTTTATTGGAACTGTTACTGGGCTGTGGTAGAGGAGGCTGTTTTTGGATGTTGAATTGGCTTCTTTATTATGAATGGGCTCAATAAAAGTGTTGTGGCTCATCCATCTCTTCTGGATTGTGGGGTTGGAAGATGACATATATTAGTTGGCTTAACATTGTTGTACTTGGAAGGGTAGTAGTCAAGACCCAAAATTTTATTCTGGGATTCCGACAGATGAGACATTACTGGACCTTTTTTCATCTTTGATGTGTACAGCTCAGTATTCTTTTAGTGATGACAAGCGTACAGAGATCTTCTATCTGGAAATACTTCAATATTGTCCTGATTTTTTAAATGAACAACAATTGCTAACTTCAATTTCTTTCTTTAAATCTTTGTTGAAGGAATGACATTTTACATGCATGGAATGAATTTGAGGGACAGTTTCTACAAACTTTGTCTTGCTTTTGTGTGCATCAGTATTGGGGGGTTGGCGTTGAATTAAAATGGCATCATTATGCATGGATTGATTTTTTCCCCTTCATTTCATGATTGAAGACTTTGAGCTCTTTCTTTTGTGACATTTAAATTGAAAGGATATGTGAAATACTTCTCTGCTGGTGTCCTCTTTGGATGGTTTCACATTCGTAAAGCATTAGCATTGATATATTGCATATCATTTGCTGGGTAAGTTTGAGGAACATATCGCACAATACTAGCTGCTGTCACATTTTATACACTCTATATGCAGAACATCTCCTTTTCATTTCTTGGATATCATTTGATTGCTAACACCTCTTTCTGGAATGCCAGGTTGGCAAAAGGATGTGGTTCTGGTCAATGAGAGGTATGCTCTCTTTTGCCCCTTATGTACTGAATTCTTAATGCCTAGAGACTATAGTGTGACCACAGGTTGGATGATAATCTTGCGAAGATCCTATTAATTTTGCTGAATCTTGAATATGTTTCTGCGTTCTTGAATGTTTAGCATCTTATTTCACATCAGCGTTTAAGATTTATAAGAAATAGAACGAACTAGATGCAGCTGCTTTATCAAGGTGGTTTAAGCCCCATCAAGGATAAAGGTAGAGTAGAGATTTATACTGGTATTCCATGGAACTTGGCTGCTGCTTCTGAAGAATGGAAACCCTTATCTCGGGTTAATTGAGGTATGGCAGGCATGTGCAATGACTATTTAGTGCTCAATGTATGTTGCTGACAGTTAAAACCGTATCGATCATGATTCTATTACTAGTTCCATGTTGTTCATTAAGTTACGAGCCAGATATATTTAGTCTAAAATTTGCTTTGCATTTTATCTTCTTGCTCGATGATGCGGTAAGCCTGCAAAAGCTCACCCATAAAAGAAAAGGGGTGGGGAGGAAAGGGTGTGAGCTTGGGGGTTTGTATATGAAAATGGTGGGTCTTGACTCTTGAACAACGATCGGCCACCTTAAGGAAACCATGTTGGTACCTAAGTGCTGGGCTATCATCGTTGTTTCGAGATCAAACATGTTTTCCCTTAATGTTATCACGCTCAAGAAAGTCTGTTATTTATTTATTTGTTTATATTTGTTTTTGGCTTAAAGGTGCAGCCAAAAAATATTATACTTTAATAAAAAAATAGCTCAGCTTTTGGAAAAATTTAGGAATGACAAAAAATAATATGTTCTTTACGAGCCAAAATAATATTTTTAAAAAATAAGTTTTATTATTATTTGTTATTGCAATGAAAAAATTTCAAGTTAGACTGGGTTAGAGTACGGCCCAAATGGATATCTGTAAACTAGTACGTTTCCAAGCCTGCTGTAAGGCCCAATGAAAGAAGCCCAAGTTTTACTTATTACAGGTGGTCCTTGTTTCGCTACTTTTTCCAGGGGAGAGGAGAAGACTCGACGCAATTCGTAGCTCTCTCCAAACAGATTTTTTTTTTTTTTGAAGTAGTTATTATATTTTCAGGAGCAAACGTTACATTCTCAGATCCGATCCATTACTATCTTCGGAAAGATGTCTTCAACATTCAGCGGCGATGAAACTGCTCCTTTCTTCGGCTTCCTGGGGGCCGCTGCTGCCCTTGTTTTCTCCTGTGAGCAATTTACGATACCAGGACTTTCCTAAATTTTTTTTCTTTTTTCTGTGGATCTGGGGGGGTTTTGATCGGATGTTTTTGCAGGTATGGGAGCCGCTTATGGGACCGCGAAGAGTGGGGTTGGGGTAGCGTCGATGGGGGTGATGAGGCCGGAGCTGGTGATGAAGTCGATCGTTCCCGTAGTTATGGCTGGTGTGCTCGGTATTTATGGCCTGATTATTGCTGTTATTATTAGTACCGGAATTAATCCCAAGGCTAAGTCTTATTACCTTTTCGATGGATACGCGCATCTGTCTTCTGGTCTCGCTTGTGGCCTCGCTGGTCTTTCCGCTGGTATGGCTATCGGGATCGTCGGTGATGCTGGCGTTAGGTAACTAATTCTTTTCGCTTTAGTTTATTTATTTTAGATAAATTTCTGATTTGTGATCAATTTCAGTGTAGTGAGTTGGTACTGTTTTTGGGTTTTGATGTTTACCATGGTCCGTGAATTAGTTAACCCAGCAAATGAGGCCCTTTTCTTTACTTGGTTTTCTAGATGCAGCTTGGGAGGCATTTAAAGTGGTGTCTTTTAGGCATTGAGATGGATTAAGACTGCTATGTAGGATCCTTATGATTGTTTGTGTAGGAAAGATGAATGTAATTTAAGCATTTTTCTTGTTTTACATCCCCTGTAGTGCTATATTCTTGTCAACGTGTTGATACAATTATTCTTCTAAATCGATATTCAATATTCGTTACTACTCTTGTTGATGATTTTGTTGCGTCATTATGTCTGGTAAGTAGTTTGCAAGAAGCAGTATTACCTTGAAAGTGAAACACGTCTTTCTCATTGTGTAATTGGGTTTTTGTAGAGCTAATGCACAGCAGCCAAAGCTTTTCGTCGGGATGATCCTCATTCTCATCTTTGCTGAGGCATTGGCACTATATGGTTTGATTGTCGGCATTATTCTCTCTTCCAGAGCTGGTCAATCAAGAGCCGAGTGAAAGATGGCCTAGCTACTGACTGCATGGTTGGTTGTGGTTCCTGCGGAATTGTTTCATATATTTTTCTTTTCTTTTCTTCTGCTGGTGAGAAGCTTATTGGTTTTGCTCAGGTGTCGACTGTTTCTACAGATTTGAGAAATTTGCAGTGGCTGATGATAGATTAGAAATTTATATTAGTTGGCTCAATAAAGTTTGTAAACTTTGTTTCATTATTAAATTATGTACTTTTGGGTCCAATTCAAACCTTGTAGAATCACTACTTGCATTTCTTTCTTTTTTGCTGGTATTGGTGTGAATGGGATTGAGCTCATTGGGCTGTTGGTGTCTGGACTCCCACAATATCTATATCGAACCTTGTCTGTCTGCTTCGCATTTATCCTCTTATCTGATACGAAGCTCTTCTTGCAGTCCCGGTAGCTTCACGTCTCCAAAAGTTGAAGGCGTTTTCTTGTATGATCTATGACGCCTCTTTCCACCTCCCTGCCCTGCTCAATGTATCAACTAGCCCAAGGAGAATGATAGCTTGATAAACCTTATAGGGATGCAGGGCTAGAAGCTTAAAATACCCCAGGAAATGCAATGCGATAGGGTTCTTCCTTTGCTGAAACAATTGCCAGTGCATTGTCTGCTATTGCCTCTGGAATCAAATTCTTTTCCTCATGCTCTGGAACATATTACACCCCAACATAACTCCTAATCCACCTCCCAAGAATTTCTTAATCAAACTCAATGCCGATAACACAAGAACCAACATGATTTGAAAAACAAGAATTCATACCAACGCTTTACAATTCCCAATAACAAAGAAAGTACGTGGAAGCCATGAAAGGCACAAAGCGAATTCGATTAAGGGAAGAATCGAAGTGAAAATGGAAAACACTTGGGTTTCAAGAAAGAAGAAAGTCAAAATAAGGCCTCAGTCAGCTCACACGGGTTCTGGAAGTCTGGTACGTCATGGCCAACGTAAACGAATCGATGATTTCCTCATCGTCCGCGTGAAGAGTAGAGACATCCTAAATTATTGTCAGGACTCAGGAACACCGATTACCGGTGGTCTGAGCAAATCTCAACCGCTCACATGTCCTAAATTCGAAGCCCACGTGTTCTGACTCTCATATGATTGTAGCGTGCTTTACACGCATTCTAGTTAACATGTTTTTCTTTTAGTTGGTTACTATTAATTATTTGAAAATCAGCGTAGAGAGAAGAGAGGGGAAAATTCCGCACCGTTATTTTCAGAATAATTGTAAAAAGAGTCAAAATCAGGATTTTCGAATATATAAACGTGAAGGAATGGGTGAGTTTTTAAAGATTGTATGAGCCGGACTCTCTATCGTTGGTCTAGCTTAGCTTTAAGAAAAATGGCTGAAGAAATTAGTAAGGCGGAGCATCGATCATCTCCAACGACTGCTGTAGCGAAATCCAGGTCGTTGTGGCCCTCCGTTCTCCGTTGGATCCCCACTTCCACCGACCACATCATCGCCTCCGAGAAACGCCTTCTCTCTCTCGTCAAGTAACCACTCAATTTCCTTTGCTAATCAATTTCTTTTAGGGGATTCTATGGTTTTGAATTTATGCTTGCAAAGCCGGAAACTTTGGTTGGACGTTACGTAAATTCTTCGTTTTTTTTTGTTTTGTTTTCGTTTTGGTTTTTAAATTGGATAATGATAATTGGTTTGAACATATCAATTATTGTATAAATTTGGGTGAAAAATTGGGTTGGAATTCGATAATTATGAATGGATTGATTAAAATTTCAGGACTCCATACGTGCAAGAGCAAGTGAATATAGGTTCGGGTGCACCTGGTTCTAAAGTTAGGTGGTTTCGTTCCTCGAGTAATGAGCCGAGGTTTATAAATACAATTACCTTTGATAGCAAGGAGGGTTCTCCAACTCTTGTAATGGTACATGGATATGCTGCTTCTCAGGGTTTCTTTTTCAAGAATTTCGATTACCTAGCCAGTCGTTTCAAGGTCATTGCTATTGATCAGCTTGGGTAAGTTCCTTTTGTCTTAATGCTTATGCTTTTGGCATGCCATGCTGAACTGTACTAGTCATAACTTCAAGTTATTAGGTTGTTAGATAACTTCAAGTTGTTAGGTTGTTAGGTTCGTGTCTGGTTTTCTCTTATTCTCGCACATGAAAAGGATTTTAATCTATTGAAGGTGCTTATTAAAACTGGAATTGAAGAGAATTTCGAAATCACTGTCAAACACTAGGGAAAGTATTGTTTTTTGAGTTTGATATCTACATTCCATTATAATTTCTTAGCCTTTCTTCTCCTTGTTCTGCAGTTGGGGTGGATCGAGCAGGCCTGATTTTGCATGCAAAAGCACTGAAGGTTAGTGAGAAGCATGCTAATAATGCACTCAGCCCTCTTCACTTATCTGAAGTTACTAAAGCAATTGCGTACGTATCTCGTCTTTGTTGTATTGATGATGCAGAAACTGAGGCATGGTTTGTTGATTCTTTTGAGGAATGGCGTAAAGCCAAAAATCTGAGTAACTTTATATTACTTGGGCATTCTTTTGGAGGATATGTTGCAGCTAAATATGCTCTCAAGGTGATTGCTTTTACAATGTTAACTATTTGAATGCTTTAAGTAGTCTGATATCACATTCATTACTCTAATGCTCCTTGTGTTTATTTTGTAGCATCCTGAACATGTTCAACACTTAATTTTAGTAGGACCTGCTGGATTTGCAGCAGAATCAGATGGCAAATCTGAGTGGCTAACCCGCTTCCGAGCAACATGGAAAGGTGCAATTTTGAATCATTTGTGGGAGTCTAATTTTACTCCTCAGAAGATTGTAAGGTTTGTAATTTTCTTGTCCTATATTCTTAGCCTGCAATGTTCTGTGAATGAATGCTCTAGCAATAGCATGATTCGTCTCTGTTTCGAGAAAACCATTTCTTATTTCTTTGTTAGATCTATTGAATCATCCTTCTGACCACAAGAACTGTCTCCGCATCCACAAATCAAGCTTAGCTTTTAACCCTTGCTATGGACTAATATCCACTGTGTTCTAAATATTTCTTGCAAGTTTATTAATTATTAAGGCAACAAATTAAGGTTTCAAAATTGATCCTTGGTAGCCTATTGCTATTGATAAATAATCAATCATCTCTTCATGGGTCCTTATGTAGGTTATTTCTCCATTATACATGTCTTATGTAGGTTGTTTCTACCTTAAACTATTGTTGGGATTATTTATAGGTCTCCTTTGTTCTTATATTGCTGTCAAAGTTCTCTTACTCCAATTTGTTGTATACATTGTATATTTATTTACATTTACTCTCTTGTCTGGGATTGCATTTTGCATCATAGCATAATTCGTTGCTTTTGTGCAATTTTTTGGATTGTTCTGTATGCAGAGGTTTAGGTCCTTGGGGTCCAGATCTTGTACGTAAGTATACAACTGCTAGATTTAGTCCTAGATATTCAGCTGATAATGTACTGACGGAGGATGAGTCTAGACTGCTAACAGGTATGGTGAAATTTTTAGATTTTGTGTATAGTGCATGCATAAGTAGATATCTAACTGCTGTTTTTTTCCCTGTGTTCTTCATGGTTGAAGATTATGTGTACCATACTTTAGCTGCAAAAGCAAGTGGAGAGCTGTGCTTAAAATATATATTTGCATTTGGAGCCTTTGCTCGGATGCCCCTTTTACACAGGTTCGATTACCCTACTTGACTAAATTCATTGATTGATATAGTAAAAGTTTTTATTTACTGAATTTTAATTGGGTTCATTGGATGATCTAATATTGGCCTACTCGATGTTGGTCAAGAATGCCATGTAATGATCATAAAGCTTCACTGTGCTGTGAAGGGTCATACAAGCCATTCCATTTTGTATAATGCTAGTGCATGGCTTAAAGCAGAGGATTATGTAAACCTGTAATGAGAATCACTTCTTCAAAACCACATGCACAACATCTAATCAAAAGAAGAGCACATTTTCAAAATTTCAAGTCTACTGATATAAGAGTCATATGAAGTATGAGCATAAGCTAGAAGTCTAGAACTTTGGTTCAATCTACTAACAACAGAAGATTTAAGTTTTTTGGAAGTCAGTATTGAATTACATTTTTTTTTTTTGAATAGTGCATCTGAGTGGAAAGTGCCTACTACGTTTATATATGGAGTTCAAGATTGGATGAACTATCAAGGAGCCCAAGAAGCTCGTAAGCAAATGAAGGTCCCATGTGAAATTTTCAGGGTTCCTCAGGTCTGTTTACTACTGCAATATAAGAAAAAACTTGGGCAGCGTCACCTGCCAAAAGTTCATTTTATATTTCAATGAAAGCTTTATTATAGAACCTTTAATGGACTAGTTTAGAAGCCCAGTGCTATCCTTCCTGTTAGACTCCTTAACTTACTCTTCTCTCATCTGCAGGCTGGACATTTTGTGTTCCTTGAAAATCCAGATGGATTTCATTCAGCCATGTTATATGCTTGTAGGAGATTTCTCTCACCTCACCCTGATGATGAACCCTTTCCTGAAGGTTTACAATCAGCTTAGAAGAAAGTATGTTGTAATATCTATTTACGTTTGGTGTATACTACATAATCACCGGGTTTCATTTGTCAGAAGATTTTTTGGGTCAGTCAAACATTCTTTACCTGTAACATATATCATATTTATGTACACGAATTGGATGTTAAATATAGTGAGAAATTTTAAGTTGTATTTTCCACCTCAATATATCTAAGTCCGCCTCCTGTTATGAAACTAGCATTGGTTACTGGCTAAGGGGAATGGAGATTGAACTAATTCAGGGGATGTAAAAAGACTTTCCATGCCCGAGTGGAACCAACCACCTGAAGCATGAAGGACCAATAAACCTTCGTAGGACAGTGAAAGAAACCAAGTAAAATAAGCTGAAAGGAGGAAAAGTAATGTCTCAGGGTGCTGACTCTTAGCTGGACTTGCCAGTGCAGCAGTCCTGCATGCTGCACTCAAATCAATCAAGGGATTATGTCCTGTATTCACTGCCCGTAAATTTTACTGTTGCTTTTTTCCCCTAGTTAAATATCGTAGGTGAACCGTCAGGTCTTTTGGCAATTGGGTTTTTCTACAGTTGGAGAGAGGGAAAAAGCCTAGCTCAATCTCATTCTTACTGAAGTTAAAAAATTGACAGATTGACAATTTGACAGTGACCCATTGGAGCAGGAAAACTGTTGGACCCTGTTCGATGTCATGACCGGATTGAATGTGGGGTTTGGAGTCCTGAGAGAACTCTGGGAGTCACAAGACACATTAACACACTGTCAAAATACGTACACCGTGGGGCACTGTGCACTCCATTATTTTATCTGTATTTTCTGCAGAATTTTTAAAATTTAGGCTGATCCGGTGGGACCCGAAAACCCGAAACCATGCAACTTTTGTGCCACTCTATTTATTTCTATTACTAAATGATACTAATTTCCTTCACAAGAACAAGTGACACCATCAAGGACCCACGTGCCGGTCAATGCTCCATGGGTATTCCGACGTGGCTGCCAAAGCTTCTGAAGAATCTAGTGCTAATGGGGACTTGCCCCCTCTCTGTTTCCCTTAAGAAAACGCCACACTCCGACAGTTTCAAGGATCCTGACGACAACTTTGCTTTTTCCAATGACTCACTTAACGGCTACTTCTCCCCCCACCCTTGATTTTCGCCACGTGGCTATTCTAGGTTAGACCTTCTATACTTTTGGCGGGAATGACCCGCTGGGTCCTTCTCACCCCAGCGAGAAGAACACGGATAATGTGTATGACTGCTGGTTGGACCCAGAGGAAGAGGAAGTATACTCGAACGGCGCCGTCGGGTCCAGTGCTAATACGAAAGAAAGGAGTATACTAAGCAGGATAATGAAGAGAGAAATGGAATTTAATAAGGGAATGATAATGACACATTATGCTATTAAAAAACAAGATAATGATCAAGAGTGGCTTCGCAAATTCTGGGTGCGAAATGAATTTAGTAAAGGAAAAATGGAAAAATCTCAAATGGGGGAAGGTAGAGAGGTTGGATCAGCTGAAGATGGAATATCTGGTCCAACTCTACATCCTTCTAACATGAAAACAATGTCTGCCATTGATGGCCTATCAAGTGGATCAGGTGCTGTGCAGAGGAGTCCCACTTTGACCCCTAACAAGAATTCTTCCCACTCTGATGATTCAGGGTCTAACTCAAGCAGCCCTGGCTCCAGCAACTCTGAAATTTGACCTTTCTGTAATTGCTTTTTCACCCATTTCACAATGTCTTCGTCTTGGGTGAACATCACAGGTTTTCTTCCGGTAAGAATTTCTAATAGTACGATCCCAAAACTGTACACGTCCGCTTCTTTTGCGGGTTGACCTGATAAAGCAGCTTCTGGTGCTACATAGCCTAGAGAACCAACAGGGGTTGAAGACGAGGAAGCTTCTGCTGGGGTTGCTATTGTCAATCGCTCTAGCCCGAATTCAGATAAATGAGCTTCAAAATCAGCATCAAAGAGGACATTTTGTGGTTTGACATCACCATGAACAGTTGATAACGAGTGTAAAAAGGCTAGGCCACGAGCAATGCCAAGAGCAATGAGATGACGCATTGGCCAATTGAGCATATGTCCATCTTGGTGAGATGCCTCTTGGAGGAGGGTGGCTAGGTTTCCATTGGGCATGTAGTCATAAACAAGGAGCCTTAAGTCGGGTGGTCCAGCATAGTAACCCCTTAGAACTGTTATGTTCCGATTCTTTACCTTGCCTAGCAATTCGGCTTCTTTCCGAAAGGTACCTTCATCAATAGATCCATCAACAAGGCGACGGATTGAAAGGACCATTCCATCTTGATACGTCGCCTTGAATACAAGTCCACATCTCCCCCTGCTCAAGACATTTTCCTCGTCAAATTGCCTTGTCGCCTCTAGTGTCTCCGCTAGCGTTATCTTGTTATTGAACATGACTAGTTTTGGTCCTCCATTTTCCCCACTACCACGACTCCTGTCCGCTCCCGAACTAGCACTAGCCGGACTTCTCTTCTTCTCCCCAGTCGCCCATTCTCTAAGCTTCTTCCGCCAGCGTAAAAGACTGTAAACATATCCACAACAACACAACGCAAGAAGGCAAGCTCCACCAGCAGCTATGGCAATTAATATAATCAGCTTCCTCCTTTTTCCATTTCTTACATTTGCACATTCTCTGTTTAATGGCTTACCGCATAGTTCACTATTCATTGAAAATACAGAAGGATCATCGAAACGAGAACCCAGTGCGTTAGGAATCTCACCCTCAAGATTGTTTCTTGACAGATTCAGATACTTCAAGCTAGACATGTTTGAAAGACTTGATGGAATGGCTCCACTCAATCTATTCGAGGAAAGATTCAAAGTAGTTAGATTCGACAGTTTTGATAATGAATCCGGTATGTTACCCGAGAGATGATTCCCATACAATAACAGAGCAGTCATAGAGGAAGATCTGGACATTTCCTCTGGGATTTCGCCATCTAAATTATTCAAACCCAAATCCAGCTCCTTCAAATGAGATAATCGAGAGATATCACCTGGTATATTGCCCCTCAAACGATTCGAACAAAGCTGAAGCACTTCAAGATCAGAACAATTACCAAGCTCTACAGGAATCATACCCGAAACTCGATTATAGGACAGTGAAAGCACAACCAATGACTGCAAAAAACCATAGGTCACCGGAATCCGATCGGTAAACTCATTAGAACTAAGATTCAAGTATTGTAAACCAACCAAGCTGCTAAAACCTTCAGGAACATCACCAGACAACCTGTTTTCTTCTAAAGCAACAACCTGCAAACTTGGCAACCCAAAAAGCTCAATAGGCAACTCACCGGAAATCAGCTGCTTACTCAAATCAAGAGATGTTAATTTCATCAGAGACCCAATACTCCCAGGAATCGTCCCTGAAAACCCACATGCACTTAAATTTAAGACCGCCAAACTCAATAAATCCCCTAAAGCATCAGGAACTCCTCCAGAAAATCTGTTGTAACTGAGATTTAAAGTTGTTAAATTACTCAACCGCATTATATCTTCCGGTACGCTTCCAGTCAAATTGTTCCCACTCAAATTCAACGTTTCAAGCCCTGAAATGTTCCCAAACCCGTACGGAATCGAGCCAGAAAATAAATTTCTCCCCAAAGATATACTTTTCAAGCTCCTCATTTGACTAAGAAAGACCGGCATTTTACCGGATAACCGGTTTCCTTCAAGATCAACGACCTTTAACGAACCACATTTTAGGAGCTGAGTAGGAACCAAACCGGTGAGCGAGTTGTTCGCCACTCTTAGCTCTTCTAAGTTCAAAAGGTTGCCAATTTCAACTGGAAATAAACCGGTAAAGAAGTTTCCAGAAATATCCAATATTCTCAACGTGGTCAAACTGGTCAACCAAGAAGGAAAAACGCCGCGGATGTGATTCTCGTGAAGGTCCAAAACCTCCAGAACTGGAACGCAGCTTCCGTTACTTTGCGGCTTAACAAGTTCCGTGAACTCATTAAATCCTAACTGCACGATCCTCAACGACGACGCCGAAGCATTCCCCGACGGTTTACAAAAGATGTTTTCAGGAACCGCACCGGAAAGTCCGTTGCGCGATAAAGCAAGCACTTGAAGATTCGGAACCGCACCGATGCTCCCAGGAACCAATCCTTTAAGCCTGTTATCTTCTGCGCTTAAATGCATTAGCGAAGAACAGTTCGCTATAGCAGACGGCAACGTTCCGTCCAACTGGTTCGAGTCGAGCCAAAGGTACTCTAGTTCTTGGAGTTTCCCTATACTCGCCGGAACTCCACCGGCGAACTGGTTGTATGACAAGTTGATAAGTTGCAGCTGAGATTGTGCCGAGAAATTCGACGGTATTTCCCCTGAGAAATCGTTCGAGGATAAATCGAGGTAGCGGAGAGACCACGGGATATCGGCGGCGATTTTACCCCAGAGATAATTATGAGCTACATTGAGGACTTGCAAGTTGGTGAGGTTAAAAATGGAAGGCGGGAGGTTTCCGGAGAGTGAGTTGTACTGCAAGTAAACGGCGCGTAACAGAGCGCATTGAGAGAGCGCGTCAGGTATGGAGCCGTTAAAGTTGTTAGAATGGAGGCTCAATTTGCGGAGCTCCCGTAAGCCAGATAACTGATCACTGAGTAGGCCACCGAGCTGGAGGCGAGGCAAGCGGAGCTCGCGGACTCGATTGTTGTAACAAACAATGCCACGCCAGTCGCAAGGAGCAGACGGCGTGGACGCATCCCAGCCGTCTAGAACACCAAGTGGGTCGTGAAAGATGCCCCGTTTGAACGACGTCAGCGCTCGGACCTCCGCCGAAGTAACGGCGCTGCGTTGAGCGTAAGTAGACAAAACGACGTCGGAGGCAAGGGCGAGGAAGAGAAGAAAAATAGCCGTTATTTCCATAGAGAAGAAACCAATTAGAAACGGAAAGAAAAAAAAAAAAAAAGTTCGGTATATGGGAAAATGGTTAAGTGGGAGCTTAGGAATGGATTGATGGTGGAGGTACAGAGGGAGCGTGTGTTCGCAGAGAGACTAACTGGAAAACAGTGCTTGACAGAAACGACGCCATATGTTGCGCCACAAGGGTAACTTTTTTATCCTCTTTTGGCTTTTAAAATACTTGATAATCTCTTTCTTTATCCCCTGATACTGTGGCTTTGGCTTCCATTTCTATATTCCCTAGGAAGGATGGTGGAGAATCATTAACTCAACCTTGTGAAATTTTTCTTATCACGAGGGGTTTGATACCCTCACCTGGGTGGCGTGTTCCTAACTTAATGCATGTTGCTGCTTAGAATATAGATATTGGGAGATAGGAAAGTCCAATGGGTCATGGGTTATGATCAGATTCTTTGCTGTACGGTGCCATAAAAGAAGTTTAAGAAGTTAAAAGCGAACTCATTTTAATGGAGTCATTAGGCCAAAACTTTAATCTCTCAAGGAGAGTCATTTATCAACTGATCTGGCAAGTCGTGATATGTTATTTTTGGGGTAATTTTTTTTCAATTTTTGCATGGAGAAAGCATGCAGCCAATGATTATCACTTCCAATGGTCATCGCTTGTGAGTTAAATTATTATCCGACACTAACTCACGTAAAAACTAAATACTGTAGATAGCAGAGCAAGCAGAGAGAACCCCAATAAAAATAAAAGAAATAATTCAAAATGGTTCAGTTCTATTATTGGCAGATTATTAATTCCTATTTCATTTTTATTTGGTTACGGATTGTTTCTGGTCAGAGGGCTATTGAGTTTTGTTCCTGACTACCACCAAATGCTCTTTCTGACGGCTTTCCGTTAATAGATGGCCCATCTGAAAGCTGACCCACTTTCATGCTTGCTCCAAAAGGTGTCTACCTTTATCAAGCCAGGCCCAGTTTTAGAATTATGCACTCCTCGTAATCGAATTTAGGTTTAATCGAGGTAAATTTGGAGACCCATTTATGCATTAATGCTTGCTTACTCTCCATCTTTGCTTGGTTGCTGGATAGGAGAGGGAGATTCCACTCAAATCTTGGGATCCATTTCCTCCGTGTTCATCTCTTGTTTTCAGCAAAAGTTATTGCCTTTAGGACATTGTCTCGTTTCCTATGCAGTTCAACTGTCAGTCTTTGGGGGAAATCTAAAGAAAGTTGGCAGAGAAATGGTGGAAAAGGCAGAGAAATTCTCTATTTATCAATTGATTACGCCAAGGCAAGGTACCATGATCTCAGCTCTCAAGTATTCAATGTGCATGATCATATAATATTCATGTATTAAGTTGATCTGTGAGGCTTAAATCACTAGCGAGAGTTCACTTTTCCAAACAAAAGTACCAGTCTTATATGAAGTAATGATGTCATTCACATCTCTCTCGCACAACCAGTTAGAATAAAGAGAAAAAAATTTTGGACGGCAGCATACAGGCTAATACAAGCTTAGAACAAGCTGGTCACAACCAGGCAATTCTTGATGGATGTGAATTCTTTTCTTGAGGGTTCTGATTCAATTGAGATTTTGACGATGAAACCATAGCTGTGGTTCAATTCCAGGACCAAGAGGCCAACTTTCTGCAGTGATGATAGCAGCTCCAGCATTAAGAATGGTAAGTCTCTATATTTCCCAAATTTCGTGTAAATCTCGATAGGGTGGTGCTCGAGAAGCAAGTGGGTTCTCATGTAGCTAATCATTGTTGACAGGAGAAAAGAGACAAGGGCACGAGGAAAATGATTATCAACTCCTGCTAGTTATTTTGAGGAGGTTAATTTAATGGTAATCATTGCATTGCGCAGGGTTTGTGGGTTAAGTCTCTCACCCTGGCTCCAGGGTAATCATTACAACAATATAACCTCGAACATGATTTGATGGCTAGATAAGTGATAAGTCTACAATTCAATAAGTAATGCAAAACCATGCAACGAAAATTGGTAAGATTTCATTTCAGGGAGAAAAGATCAATCCGCACTAGCAATGTCCCAAGCCTAACATTAACCGAAGCAGACACCAAGAGTGTTAAAAAAGGCGCTTCCGTTGCCGGGACTCGAACCCGGGTCTTTCGGGTG